GCGTGGGGCCCCCGGCCCGGCCCCTGTCCCCCGCAGCGAGGCGGAGGAGGGAGCGCCGGGCGAGTTCTGTGGGGGAAGCCTGGGCCCTGCAGGAGCCCCCAGCAGAGCCCCGATGCTCTCCGTGGGCTTAGCCCTGCGCTCTTTCTCTGGCTTTGTCGCAGCAGGAGGAAAGGTCTGCGCTCGGGTGCTTGACAGGGTGGCACTTCTGGCTCCCGGGTGGGATCCGTCAGAGCATTCACCTGTCCCGAGGCGGGAAGCACCAGCTCGCCTTCCTCCTGTGGCACCCAGGGGTGAGGGGTGCTCACGGCTCGGGCACCGAGGCAGTAGGAGAGCACAGCTGGGAAGGGAACCAGGAGGACCTGACAGCTGTCTGCTGCCTTGGTCCCAGGTGTCAGATGCAAACTGGAGGGTAAATTGTGCAAGGTGCTGTTGGGATGCTTTCAGAGAGTTCGGCTCTGTGAGTCTCCTTGGTGCTCAGTGCTGGAAAAGGGATGGTCGCGGTGGGATGCAGGCTTTCTGGCTGCTTGGGGCTGCACTGAAGCAGACTGTAAGGGCTAAGCACACAGTGCTTCATCCCGCTCTTCACAAGAGCGCGGTTTGTTTCCTGAGCAGATCAGCAAGTTGTATGGGAGCTGTTCCTGACCCTGACATGGTCCCGGCCACCTTTGCTCTGGCCAGCCAGGCAGGGTTGTTCCTTTTGGAGAGGAGCTTCTCTGTTGCAGAGCTCAGCTGGGAGGATAAAGAGGATAGAGGGGTTTCCGTGGGGCTTTTATTTGCTCGTGGGAGGGGAGCTGCTGGTGTTGCTGGTGGATTAAAAAGCTGTTTTCTGTGTTGGCTGCCACCTTGCTGACCATGCATTCTTGGTGTGTGCTAGCAAAGTCTAATAAAGTATACTGGCTCTCTTTCTGAACCATGAGAGAGAGAGTTGTTGCTGCATCCTGCCAGAGGAAGAAAATGCTTTCCTTCGACCTTTGTGTTGTGTTCTGAATTGTTGTCATCAGGGTAGTGTTTGTGGGGCTTGGTGGTGGTTGTTTGTTTGGTTTTTTTGTGTAGTTGGGTTTTTTAAAATAATCCAAACTGTTTCAGCGTGTGAGAGAGGGTATCTACCACACTGGGACAGACTTGGAAACAACTGAAAACTCCTTGAGTGTGGAAATGAGAGGAAAGCCACAGAATTTCCCAGGGTAATACAGAATCTCTGAGAAGCAGAAGAGAAAGCACTGAAGACAAAGGGCGCTGGAGCGACCCGGGATGTGAAAAGCAGGCTAAAGATTCATGGCTCGTCTAGGCCCTTTCTTTGCCTGTGGGTGAGAAGGTTGTGTGCTGAAGCCTGAGTTGTCCTTCGGCATGTTCCCTGTCCTGACAGGCAGTACAGAAGTGCTCCCTGTTCATCAGCTTAGATCCCCAAGCACAAACCTCCTTGCAGACTGCAAGTGCATGTGGAGTGTCCCAAAGTGCTGCTTCCTGTAGTGTACCCAGCTCGCTGCCTTGGGAAATCTTTTAGGACATTTTGTCTGCAGAGACAACCACGTGATGTTTTCTGTTCTCCAAAAACAAGAAGGGCCCTTAGATCCTTTGTCAAGTGCTTGCAATATGCTGGTCTTTCTCCCATGCCTGGTGTGTTTACATGTTAGAGATGTTCATTTTGACAAGGGATGATAAATAAAGACCCTGTAAGCTGCAAAGAGTGTGGTTTTCAGAGGTGATCTTAACTCAGTAGGAGCTTTTCCACTGAGTTATTCTGAAGATCAGCCTTAACAACTACCTCGTACGGACAGGAACTAAAACCTCTCTTGTGCTGGGTGCTCTGGGGACACAGAGACAGATGCACTCCTTGCCCCAAGTGTAAGAAATTCTCCAATCAGATCTTCAGCAACAGAGCCAGACTGTTAAACATGGGGAGATGCTGGGTGTTTCAGAAGTGTTGTGTTCTTTTGAATCCCCCTGAATGCGTCATGCAAGGCAGCTGGTTCTCTTCCTTTTGTAGCACCTGATACTTATTTGTGGACTAAAACTGTGCTGAAGCTTCCCCTTTCGAAGCGGAGGCCAGACCAAGGGGAGAAAAGACACTGTCGTGCAGCGTTAAGCCCATGAGAGTGTAGAAGAACCTCTCAGGCTCTTGCTGAGGCTGGTTAATTTCGATGATCAGCTCTCTTAGGCATCCAGAGCTGGGGTATAAGCTCTTTGGGGAAGCATTTTTTAGCGGAAGGATTTGAGTGCTAGTGGCTGATAGGTCTGTTGGCAGGATCCCAAGAGCTGGCTGGAAGAGGCCTCTACTATGAAGGAAATGCTGAAATGGGACTTTTAATGAACTTGCATAGCAGTTCCATAAGGACTGAGAAGACTCCGCAGGGAAGAAGGGAGAGTGGGATGTAGCTAGAAATTCCTTGTGGCGTTCAAGTTCTGGCAGTAAATGAATGAGCCCAATTTTGCCTAGATACAGGTGAAATAACGTTACATCTGAGGGGTACTTGTCTGGGAGCACCGTTTTACCCAGACAGGGCTGGAGAAAAGGCAGTGTTTTCTGGGTTGTAGCTCTGAAGTGCAAATGCAAAAGACAATAGTACGGTATATCTTACTTATGGGATTTTTTTTTTTCTGGTTTTCACCACTAAACAGCTTTACCAGCTACTGGAAGTGAAAGCAAAGGCTGAAATGTGTGAATATACATGCCATTTGGTGATGGTTTCAGCCCAGGTTTTAGTGAAGACTGCTTTCGTTCTTGGCATCTGTCATCAGCCTTGCGTACACCATGTGGCTGAACTCCAGGCTCTTGGCTTCATGAAGGCTGTGCTTTTAAAATGTAGGCTCCTGCGGGGCCTTGGGTGAGCTTGGAGTTGGGTGCCTAAGACAAAGAAGCTAGAGCCCCTGGGGCTGCTGACCCTCTGCAACCTGGGTTTTCAACCAAGGGCCGTGTCCTTGCCTGGAAGCCTGGCACAGAACAGGCTGAGGACCAGTTCAACGTCTCTGTTGTCGGTATGGCACTAAAAGACATCGTCACTATCTTACATAAGGAAACAATTAAGGTCCTGTAGGCTAGTCCTATTCAAGATCTTTTTCCAACCTTTACATGCTTCGCCACCTGATTGGGTCAAGGTACTCTGTGTCTGTAGACATGGAACTGATGAGGTGAAAGTCGTAAGTCCCCAGTCCAGTTCCTTGTTGGAGCAATGGATACGTGCCTGCTGCTTACGCCAGTCCTCACTAGTTCATCCCTCTTAGAGAGCTGGGAGCTAAGTGGGAAGTCATGGCGTAGAGCCTGCAGTGGAACTCCTTTGGGGCTCTGCCGTTGTGATGGGTCTGTCCTTCCTGTGCTGAGACAGCTCTGAGCCATGTCACGTGGCTCCAGCCTGTTACCGTTGCAGTTCCCAGCAGAGGTTGTGCTCGTGGGATAATCCTGGTGTGATGGCCAGGGTAATCCTATGCTGAAACCCCATTGTTTTGTACTTCTCAGAGGTAAATACATTGCCAAAACTTTTGCTGGTCGAGGGTGGGGCGCCACAGATGTGCGACAAAGACCTCAAAAGGGGTGCTCACGAGAAACCTTCCTTGCAAGAAGTTTGAAACATTAGGACTCCTTTCTTTAGTACCGTAACATGTATTGAAAATCTTATTTCTGTCTTTTCTGCAAATAACAGTGTCCCACAGTAAAGCTGGGGGGGAAGTCAAGCATAACTGGAAAGACAGAAGCTCGAAAGAGTAGTGTCCTGCTGGAATGAATGGTGTGGGTGCTGGTGTACCCTTGATCCTTTGTTTCAGTGCTTCTTCCCCTCCCCAGGTCAGGGAGACCAGCTGCAGCTGGCATAGTGTTAGTTCCAGGGACTTAGCAGTAGTTACAGTGGTGATTAAAGGTCAGTTTTTACTAATTAAACTTCTTAGGAGTTAGTACATCTCTTGAGGTCCTGTACATTTTGGGCGAGGTCATCATCCCGCTGCTGGGACACTGCCAGCTGGGTTTGCACGGTGTCTTTTGGTTTTCTTTTTTCAGTTGCTCATGCGAACAAGATTTTGACTGGAGTGTTACCTGTTATCTTTATGTGCTGTTAGGCGTGGTCCTTTGCTGAACATGAGACATGTCTGTGCTGGCTATCTGACCAGCAACTTGTGGTCAGTTGGGGAGAAGCCGTGGGTTGCTCATCGGGAGCAGGGGGGTGAGAAGAGGAGGCGATTGCTGTGAGGCCAGGCTGCTGCATTCAGCCCATGCAGCAGTCGCAGATGCTCGGTCCTCCTGCGCTGCAGCCA